CTCGGAGCAGGCCCTCAAGGAGCTGGGTCTGGCAGAGCACCAGCTGCGCTTCACCTGCCGCGTCCACCTGCCTGACTCACGCCTGCATGAAGCGCGCAAGGAGCAGGAGATGGCACTGCGGGTGTACAGTCACCTCAAGAGGTGGGTCTGTCCCGCTCCCCCTGCTCCAGCCCACCCTCACTCTGCCCTGCCGCCAGGCAGACTCTCACCCCGCCTTTTGCAGCATCCTGAAAGACCACTGTGTGCAGCACCTTCCAGATGGCTCCGTAACTGTGGAGTCCATCCTCATCCAGGCAGCTGCGCCCTCCGAGGACCCCAGCGCCAAGGTGCTGCTGGTCTCCTGGACCTACCAGGTGAGGGTGGTGGCACCCTTCCTCCTCTTCCTACGCGGCCTGCGGGGGGCCATGTGAAGGTGACTATGGCCTCTTCTCTTTGGGGCAGGATGAGGAGTTGGGGAGCTACCTCACGGCGCTGCTCAAGAAGGGGCTCCCCCAGGCTCCCAGCTGAGCCCCTTGGGCATGCTGCCCACGGGAGGAACCAGGCTTCCACTTCAGGACTGGGTGTCCCAGGTGAGCGGAGCCCATGGCAGGGCCAGACCCTGGCCTTGGAGACGGTGCCCCGGCATCACAGGCCTGCCAGAGCAGCGGCTTCCAGCTGAAGAAATAAACAGGTCTCTGGATCTCTCGCCTTTTATTCCCACTCCTGGCCCCGTGATGACTGCTGGCTGGGGACTCTGGGACAGCAATGTCTAGTAAAAGCAGACGCAAAGGCCACCTGGTGCTCTCCCGTTGGTACAACATGTCTCCTGCACCAGGGGCGGGGGTCTCCAGGGCACTGGGGCTTTGGCAGGTATGATGGACACAGGAAGTCGAGCAGGCATGCTGTGGTCCCTGGAAGCTGTGACATGCTGGCCTACCCGCACAGGGCTGGTGCCTGCTGGGCTTGCTGTGCCGTGGCCGGCCTGACTTTGGTGGAAGATCCAGGGTCATCTGTGGTCTCCACACTGTGGGCCCTGCAAGGTATAGGAGGCAGGACTTATGGACAGACCGGTCCCTAGGCAGAGGGCTAGCCCAGAGCCCTCCCACCACTGAGGTCTGCTCATAGGAGCAGGGGAGCTCTGGGAGGTCCCTTCATGCCAGCCTCTGCCTGGGTAACTGCTCCTGGCACGTCTGGCTCTTCCAGGGGTCAGGTAAGATTCCCATCTGAGACAGTGGAGGCCTCCACTGAGGCTCTGACTACCACGAGCCCCTCCCCAGTGTGGACCCAGCCTCAGGAGGGACCCAGGCAGTGGGGTGCGCGTCCAGACCCTGCCCAGGCCGGCTCTTACCGAGGTCTCCAGGGCCCCATACAGGACCGATTTCAGGAAAAGGCCGTGGGCTGGGGCTACGCGTGCCTGGTGCTTGCCCAGAGGGTCCCGGCTCTCCAGAATTGCCTTCACCTGGGTGGGTGTCAGAGCTCCCAGCCCCACAGCCACCAGCACAGCTGTCATCCTCCGCACCTGCAACTCAGCCCAGATTGGCACAGGCCCTGCCTGCACCCATCCCCAGGAGGACCCCAGCGGGACCCCTGTACCTGTCTGTACAGGAAGGACTGGCTCTCAAACTCCAGCGTCCAGAACTGTAGCCTGCTGGGGAGATGGGTACCTGTGATGTACACCTACCGTGTGGTCTCAGGCAGGCTGGGCCCTCAGTGCCCCCTTGCCCAGGTAGGCGTATAGGAGGGGGCAAAACCAGGTAATGCTTGTACTGCAGGACTCTGGGGGCCTGGACAGGCCTGACCACTGCTTGCTTCCCTGGGCCCTCCTGGAGATGGCGTTCGGGCCAAGGTCCTGCGTGTGTAGAGTTGGGCTGGCCCCTCTGCCAGAGACCAGGAGCCTGGAGATACAAAGTTTCTCTTCTGCTCAGAGCTGGGCCCACTGGGGGGCTCTGGAGGCCAGCAGCTGCCACCTGGCGGGAGGACCCTGGATGGTGCCGGGGGCAGCAGAATTTCGCCCCTGCCTGGCTTGGCTGAGATGTCCTACCCCAGTGAAGCCTTTTCAGTGGTTGCCAAAACCCATGCACTGGGCAGAGAACTCTGGGCAGGGGTTCTCGGAGAAAGGCAGCCTTCTCTGCCCTCGGCTTCCAGCCTGGCAGGGATCCCAACCCAGAAAGCACAGCTGCAGACGCGGGGGTGTCCAGGCCACACCACTCACCGCCCTGCACCCCCCAGCTGGCCAGCATCCCGCCCTGCCCACCAGGCCCTGCAGCCTCCTGGCTGCCCCAACCCAGCCTTGACCTGCCGTGGCTAAATTCAGTGCTGGTGACCCAGGGCCGGGCCACAGGGTGAGGCGACGCCTCCTCACCTGCTCTCCTGGGGGAGGGCAAAGAGGCTGGCAGGGCCGGGGGACACTGACACTTGGCGCAGCGTTCGCACGGGGCTGGGGGCTGGGCTGCCGGCCGACTGGAAGGCGCTGAAGTCGTGTGTCCCGAGGAGGTGCTGGGCGGCCTCTCGCATGGCTACCACGTCCAGGCAGCTTCAGGGAGCAGAACCAGCCAGCAGGGGAGCAGGGCCCGCCCGGTGGGCCGCCCTCTCCCCTGCGCCCTTGCCC